GAAAGTGTGCAGTTTCCATGAGAAAACAAAAAGCAATCTACACATTATTGAGCCTAAAACAAGCAACCATTGTAGCACTGCACAACTGTTTCAGAGATCAATAGATTAAAACATCTTTATAACCTTACAACCATTGCTTTTTCAACACACATACAGCCTGGGTAGTTTTGTTTTGATATGACAAAACATTGCTCAGCTACGATCCTGAGTATCTAATGACAGTACAAAATGGCCTCATGGGTAATAAAATGTGAGGCCCTTAGACAGGGCCTCTGCTTTTTGTGACTCAAAAGGCTCATCACAGAGTTGTCAGTCCCGTTCTACTATCTGTCTGGGTCTGCTTCAGAGGGACATGCTCCCTCCGTAGGGGCTGCTGTCTCACTGGTAATTGTAAGTGGGTGTGTGTTTGGGGTTGCGCTGTAATTTTGCATGGTGCCTGCTGTCTGGGTGAGGCTCTGACTGAACTGAGACCCAGTGATGTTGGTCACTTGCATGGGTTTCATAATTGCTGGTTTGCTACAAGTGAACCAAGATGGGAAGTTTCTTTAGGTAGACGTGGGGTTGTGAAGAACTGGAGGGTCTCCTCCACTTAAGCTTCTTTTACAAAAGCCACTAGCACAGTCAATTCTCTAAAAGACAAAACACAGATACTAAAATTAATACTAAAAGTTTTTTTTGTGATATATTAATCTAAAAAGTGATACATAATGACAGCTGTCATGCTTTATCAATATACTGAAAGAAAACTTGAAATAGATTTACACTGTAAATTTATATCCAGTTGAATGTACGGTAAAAAGTGGTGGAAGAAATTCATCATTAAAAAAATGGATGGCCAATACTCGTATAGCTAGATGGTGCACAGGGTCATACGCACAAAGACAAAACACCATGAGGGAACACAGAGACACTAAAATAATCCATTAAAAACATGAAATAACACATAATGTAACATGAAACACCCTAATGTACATTACTGATAGCAAACGTGAGAATAAACTAAATTACTTATATAAAATATTTCATGTGTCACACAGAATAATGTCTTTTTACTGGTTTTCACCTTTAATTACATGGTAATTAATAGTTTTTTGTTTTTTTTTACAAAAAATAAATAGATAAAGTGTAACCCTTTATTTTAAGGTATCTTTGTTACAGTGTAATTATACATTTAAGTACTAAGTAATATTAATTAACTACATGTACTTACTATAGGGTTAGGATTACTTAGGGTTAGGATTAGGGTTACTTGCATGTAATTATGCATAATTAATTGTTATTATAATAGTAAGTACATATAACATGTGTTACAAGGACACCTTAAAATAAAGTGTTACCTAAATTTGACACGTTTTTAAAGTAAAATAAAATAAAACAATGCAATTTAATGCAAATTACATTAAAGCAATGTAAATGTTTTACAGTATATGGAAACATAACTTCAAGATTAAACAATTAATCGTTTTTTTACTGTAGCATTTTTACAGTGATTTTATGCAAAACAAATGGGAAAACTAGCTTTAAAAAGTTATATTATGTAGTATTTCATTAAATATATGCTAATTACATATTATAATAAATGCCAGTAAATACACAAAATAAATAAATGCCACTACATTTTGATTTCTAACTTTAAAGAAGTGGTTTGCTGCACATAAAACACCTATTCGTATTTTTTGGTGTTAAAATACTAAAATAAATGGCATTTGTAGGTCTACTCTTTTGGCGCTATTAAATTAGTCTGTTTATTTGAGCATCCAGACCAGCCTGACATAGCAACGACGACTCAACCAATAGCGCAAGTTTGGGGTGTGGCTACTGTTTTTGATGGCCAATGGCTGTTAGGAAACTTGTTTGAAAACAGTGTTTATTTTGCAAAACCTTTGATGATCCTAGTGGCACTGAAACACACACTTGCATACCCACAGCACATTCACTTTGCTAACTTCCTATTGAAGTCAAACAAAAATATCTAGGCGAGTTGTTTGTGACTGAATAGGTTTGTCTGTATGCAGCACACACTGGGGAGCTCGGTCAGGTTTGTCTCTATGCATCAACACCCCCATCTCCCCATAGACTACAACACTGAACCCAGCAATTGAAAGATCCACCTCCCTCCTCTGTATGTCTGTCTCTTTCTCCCTCCACCTCCCTGTCTGCTATCCTCCCCCTTTCTCTGGGGCTGGGCCAAGATCCCACTGCACCCAAGCGTAAACTCTAGCAGAAGCTGGTGAAAGGGGATCGCATCAGCATTACTTTGCATCACGTTGGTATATTAAGCTAATGAATGATATCAGCGGTTGCTCTAATAATGTAACCAGATACACATTATGCAACGCTGCAACTGCAGGGCATGTTAGTATGTAATTGCAAACGGCGTGTGGCATTATGGTTAAAGAGTTTCCTGAAAACTACAGGTGTGGATGTGAATCACGGAACTGCAGTATATTTACAAAGATCAAGAGCAATGCCAAAATAGGCTTACAAAATCATTTATAATGACACGGGGATTTCTAAGCATCAAGTGTGGATTTAAATTTTGGCTTTCACCTGGGGAGTAAAAACGTAAATTCGTCTCCCATACTTTTTTCAGGCAAGTGTTCATGTAGAGGTTTTCAAGGGCAGTGTGAATAAATCTAGATTTCACAAGTTCACACTTACATATAATGAACTGAGTAAAGGTTATGCATATTTGGCGTGCTGTCCGGGGAGAGGGGTCCGAGCTCGGTTTTTTAGCCCGGACCCAGAGCGCTCCCCCCGAGTGCTCCTCCCCGTGCTGGGGTAGGAACGGGCTGAAGGTGAGGAGTCGGGGTGGTGGAGAGATTGCTGAAAGACTAGATATAGTGAAGGTAAGACTGCTTTGATTATTTATAGGGGTTCTCTATTGTGCTGGTTGGATAGATGGTGTAATTACTGATGATTGATTGGCCGTGTTAATTATCTGCGCGTGCTCCTCCTGAAATTTGTTAATAAAACATCACTTAAATTCAAAGAGACAAGATAGTCAATGCATGATCTGACATTTTATTTGTATCTAAAACTAGGCGATGTAAACATGGAGCGCTAAAAACTCTCATGCAGTGTACGATTCATTCATACTCGAAGCCGGAGGGCACTCTCGCTCTGAAAGTCCAAAACGGACTCACAGAACTAATAACTTATAACTTGCAAGAAATCACTAAGGCCCTGTCCCAAATCGCACCCTAAACCCTCGCGGCCTTCCTCTTTCGTGACGTAATGCCGCTTTGACTGTCGGGTAGAAGTCTTCTGCGGAGCTCGCCTCAGTGCTCGGCAGAAGTGCGTATCGAGGGCACATAGCGGCCAAAAGGCCGAAAGGGAGCACTCACGAGCACCCTTCTGAAAGCTAAAATGACGAATGGGACACATGAAGTGTGCCATTTGGGACAGGGCCTAATATGGACAAAGGCATCCAGCGATCACTGTAGCTAAGCTGAATAAAACACAACATTTGACTGATGAAATGTGAAGACAATAAACACACGATTGCAACAACATATGGTTTATGTGTGTTTTTCCAAGTAATCTCCAGCCAGGTAATAAAAAGCATCTGAATAATGTAGTGCTACCTGATACAGCATTTAGTATTTTAGGCTATAGAAACTATAAAATATTTATTCTGCCTTATTCTGTGATAAAAATGGAAAAGGTGTTTGTAGTCTATAAACAAATCATAAAATTGTCATTAGGAAAATAAAGGAAAAAAATATTATAGAATACAAATTATTGGTAACTATCCAGCAGTCAATCAGCCAATTACAGTGCCTTGCGAAAGTATTCATACCCCATGAATTTTTTCACATTTTATGTTGCTGCCTTATGTTAAACTGCTTTAAATTACTTTTTTCCCACATCAATCTGTACTCCATACACCATACTGACAAAGCAAAGACAGAATTGTCACAACTTCGAAAATTTATTTAAAAAAATACCTGATATAAGTACATTGCAACTAAATATTTCGCTGAAGCACCTTTACAGTATCGAGTCTTTTTTTGTTTGATGCGACAAGCTTTGATCATCAGCATTTGGCAATTATCTGCCATTCTTCTCCTCACCTCTTCACCTCTCAAGCTCTGTCAGGTTGGATGGGAGCAAATGCACATTTTCAAGTTTCTCCAGAATTATTTGATTGGGTTCAAGCTCAGGCTGACTGTCCCAGATAAGGGTATGAATACTTATGCAATGGAATCATTTAAGTTTTTTATTTTTAATAAATTTGCAAAGATGTTAAAAACCTGTTTTTTGCTTTACCATTATGGTGTATGGAGTGTAGATTGATGTGGGAAAAAAGTAATTTAAAGCAGTTTAGCATAAGGCAGCAACTTAACAAAATGTGAAAAAAATGAAGGGGTATGAATATTTTCGCAAGGCACTGTAAATGTAAGAGATATGAAAATAATAATAATAATAATAATAATAATAATAAAACCGGTCAATAAAAAAAAAAATCAAAGGTATTATATTTGACATTTCTGTCCCCTTCACTTTTGAAATGGTGGCTACGCCCCTGCTGTGACCTGTTGATGAGTTAGTTTGATTCAACAGTTCTCCACCCACTGGCTCCCTCTAACCTAGTCTATAATTTATAATTTTATAATCATGACTAAACTAACTTAAGCTTATGCAACTTTCATTTGATATTGCATTTCCACACGCATATGATCTTAAAAGATTCCTGTTAAGCAGACTAATACTCTTGAAATAATAATAATAAAAATAAAATAAAATAGGATAACCACTTCCTGGTGAGCCCTTCTGAAGAATCAATGCATCAGGTATGACGCATCGAGGCACACGTCCCCACATCCGACCTAGACAGTCATCTGATGCCCGATAGATATCCGTTTTATAACGATGTTTGTTTGGAGTGCGAATGCGTTGCTGCGCGCTTGGCTAGCATCGCGTGTCTAGCAGAGCCATCTAGCACAATTTGGTGACGCAGGGGAGCTATTAATATCACAGGAACTGGATGTACTCACGTCTGCAGCAGGTCACTGGAGGACAAACAAAGTGTACAACATTTGTGGAACGCTGCAGTTTTTGGTAAGGCTGCGAGAGAAAAAAAAAGTTTTCTCGCTGGACTAACACGTTTCGTCGTGTGAGACAGCGCACAGTGGGTCCCAAGTATAGGTTTCTGCAGGAAAGTAATGGGAGTTACCAGATCGGGGCGTTTTTAGACCATGTTTCCTGATTGGCTGACGTCATAGTGACGGTAGGTTTAGGGGTGGGGTTAGGTAAGGGGATCATTTTGATTGCATGATTGAGAAACACCCTTCAGTTTGAAAACACCCACAAATGCAGAAACGCCCACTTTTGCTCTGCAGAGACCTCAATCTCAGTGGGTTTGAGGAAGGAGAGTTGAACGCTGCGCAGCCCCGATGAGCCTCGCCCACTTTTGAACCCGTTGACTCGCTGCACTCCGATCAAAACAACCAGACAAAGAATGTGCACACAACGGGGGAGGGTTTTGTTTTTGGTCTAAGGGGTAGAATTAATCTTAATGGCTACCATTATGGTACTATTTGAAATGGACAGTGCAATTAAAAATCTATTTTAGTAGTAGATAAATAATTTTACAAAATGCCTCTCAAATGAAAGGGATATTTCACCCCATGGCATCATTACTTACTCACCCTATTGTTTCAAATGTGACTTTTCCCTTTCTTCTAAAGAATGTTGTATTGAAAATGAAGGGGGACTGAAACTTTGAAGCTCTGAAATGTCAAAAAAAAAAGAAAAGAAAAAAAAAGTAGGTCTAGTGATGACCAATTCATGAACGAGTCTTTTTAGTTGGATTTTTTTTCAATGAATCAGTTGGCCCAGTTCACAAAAACAGTGAATGATTAACTCATGAATCAGACTGATCTGGTTCTCAAATCACATTCACAAATCTGAGACTTTTGCTTCTCTTACAGACCCTTGTGAACACAACAATTTGTCAATGTAGTGAACTATACTTTCATGTGTCTGTAGTGTGCATACTTGTATACAGGGTGCGATTTGTAAAGAAAACAGAGGGGGGATGCTTTTGAATTTTTTCTCCATAGGTGGAGACAAGGTAAGGCTATAGTCTAAGTAACCTAATTTTACTTAATGTAATCTGTTAACAACGCACATCATATACCTGTCTTTTTAGGCAAGTACCAGATAATGGGTGTCATGTCATAAAATATTTTTAATATGACACAGTTTAATAAAAACCTTGTAAGTTAGGCCTGTTAATTGTAACAATTTAATTTACATGGTTATTCAAACAACGAATAAATTATATAGAGAAAGCAAGCAAAGAACATTAGGCTGCATTATCAAAGAATATTATCACTGACTTCAGTCAAGCACAAGTTTAAGAACTCTCAAAAAACTCCACCGTTATAAACACTGAAGCTGTCTATACACTTAAAAATACTTTTATTTTTGGCGTTTTATATGGCCTGTTGGTTTAGCAGCATTACCCTGGGGGGGGGGGGTTTTTCTAAATCCCATAGACCAGAGGGGGGAAATCCCCCCAACCCCCACCCCCCCACCGGCAAATCGCACCCTGCTTATATAGTATGCATGAATTGGAACCTTGTCTGTTTTCTGAATGCATTTTATTGATCTTATTGTAAATGACTCATCCATGTCTATGTTTTATTTTTATTTTTTAACTTTTGACCTTTTTAATGTTTTATTTACAATGTTATAACTCGATCGATCTTCCTGTGAAATAACAGAGTTCTCTCTGGTGACATGCTGGACTTCTCCAATCATTTTATCTGTTTAAACCCCACCCATTTCTTAAGATTGAATACAAGTTCACTTTCATATCTGACTCCATCCAATCAACAACCAGTGAATTGAGCCAAGACTCACCTTACATTTTTTGCTTTATTCACTTGTACATCACAGTATTGAAGAAAGGATTGGTCACTACTTCCATTACATTGTGACTTTAACTGAGTCACCTTAGTTATAATTTTAATGGCCACTATATGTTTCTACAGTCTACATTTCATAGCTTAAGGCTAAATATTTTCAGAATAAATAAACAAACCAAAAAAGTGATACAATCATCTCTGCTTCCTCCCTAATTCTCAGAGCTCTTTTTAAAGATAACGCACACTATTGCCTGCAATTTTACCTCACTATGTTATGCAACTCGATAACAGTGGTTTTGTGTACAGTGCTTGATTGTTTATGTCTCCAAAGTTCAATTTTGAATGTAAAGAGCGTGTGTCAGATATAGTTGAGTGACTAATGAATTCCATTCAAGGCCATAATAACAAATACTTTACAAACTCAGCATGTGAGTACTTCCTGCACTCCAAAAAAAAAAAGTCCATGCAAAAACCATGCATTATGCAACAAGGGTGAGGTCAGCTAATTAATGGTGTAATTAAAGCCCACATACTGCTTGTTTATTGAAAAATATATTATTGTATTATTTCCCATGGCTACCTAAATATACTGTTTATCACAGTCTTTTGGGGTCATTGTTTAGCTCCAAAAGAACAAATTTAGCCGTGAAATCACAAGCACTTGAAGATGGCATTATTTCACAGCTGCAATAATTATTTTGGTTTCATAAGATTTCCTGACAAACAATATGTTTGAAAGCAGAAATGCACGCCCACTGCACTGGCTTCATATAATATAATTCAAAATATAGATGTTTACTATGCAGGCCTATGGAGTTAAAGTTTCCAAAAAAGAATCAGTGGTCATTTTACATTTGTGTTTACTCTTGTTTTTATTGTGGTCAGTTGGTCCGCCCTCAGAACATTTTCTTCTGAAAGCTGAAAATCCCTTAAGAACACATTAATAGGAACAATCCACTTCTTTGTAGTGATTTGTAAACAAGATTGAATAAGGACAATATTAAATAAATCTTAAGAGTTCAAAATTACATTTAATAGTCTTAGCAATGATTTTGGTGCTTCAGTTTGGCAGTTGACTTCAAATCCAACCGGTGAGCTCTCTGTGTTTCAGAAGGATTTGTTCTTGTTTAATGAGAGCCTTGTTAATCTGTCCTCTCATTAGCTGCTAGAGGGCACGGCCTGTTTGGTTTTTAATATGTAAAGCCTATTGACATCCGCTGTGAGGTTTGGATGTTGGAATATTGATGTTCAATTTGCAATTTCCATAGTTTATCCCGCATGACAAAGTTTGTTGGGACAGATGTTATAATGTGATTCTAGATTGTGCCCTAATGGAGCGCAACAGTAGGATACTACAGTAAAAAACAAAAAACAAATATATATATATATATATATTTTTTTTTTTCACAATATGTAATATAAGTCTCTGGTGTCCCCAGAATGTGTCTGTGAAGTTTCAGCTCAAAATACTCCACAGATCATTTATTATATCATTTTGAAAATGCCTATTTTGAGTGGAAGCAGAAACAAGCTGTTTTTCGGGCCTGTGTCTTTAAATGCAAATGAGCTGCTGCTCCCCGCCCCCTTTTCCAGAATAGAGCTGCGCCATTACAGCTCGGACCTGCTAAACACATCTGTTTTGGTTCTGATTATCACGTTTATTTAATAGATTTTTGATAAAAATAGAACTTTTGATTTGAATAATGTATTAGTAAATGCTGGAATCAACATTAACTAAGATTAATAAATGCTTTTAAAAATATAAAAATACATTGTTAGTTTATGTTAACTAATGTGGTTAAATGTATAGTTCAGCCATGAAATTCTACTTGCGTTCTATGGTTCATTCAATTCAATGTTTCCAGCCAAACGGATTCACGTACTCATTACCGTTTACCTATATGATGTATTCAATGGATGCTAAATCTGCGCACTATGCGTGTCCTCATCTTAGCCCACCGCCTCCCCAGCACCACCCGCCTAGATCTGCTACGGGGGATCTTCAAGACCAAACCTATGCATGTTCTTTTAACATTAATAAAGATTTTATAATCTGTACCGAGAGTTGTCATGACTGAACTAATGGTAGCAAATGGAACCTTACTGTAAAGTGTTACCGAATTCTCTTATGCTCGCCAAGGCTGCATTTATTTGATTAAAATACAGAAATATTATTTAAATGTATTATTACTCCAAATTATTTTTATATACTGACTTGAAAACACTATGAAGAAAATGCATGGGGAAAATCCTTTACCAAAGGCTGCTGTAAAAGTGGGTGGTCACTGCTGAACTCCATTAGTAATGATTACGTCTTTTGATAAAGAACAGGAAAAGCAATGTTCAAAGTCCTACCTTGAGTACATTACATATGTGTACCCTAAGGCCATGCCATTGTGTGATAGTGCGCATGTACATTACACATCACTGTTGAGTTTGAATTGGGGTCGGCAAGAGGCCCTCTATACATGCCGTCATCAAGGCGAGTTAATACAGAGCCTGAGGGTCAAACTGTGTGGTTGAAGGGAGAGATAGAGATAGATGAAGGTTTCCTCCTCTTCCTCCATCAGACATGTCCCACCAGCCCACTTATTGATGCCTCGTGAATAGAGATGCTTCTCACAGGCAGTGAGCAAACATAGCTAAAGAGAGTTTGTTACAATTTGTTCTTTTTAAGCTGTATTGTGTGAAGCAGACAAAGCCTTTCCCCGCAGCATTGCTTCAGAGTGGATTGCTGCTAGCCTCAGCAAGCATCAGCCTTATAAAATAAATTTACGCTTAGCATGTCACTGATTTTTACTAATTAGCATAACTAATATGACCTTCTTGTCATCTATGTATGGTATTTATGGGTGGGACTTTCTCAATCTAAAGAGCAATTGATTGGACAAAAATATGTTGTGCAGGATGAGTCATCAGTGTTTTTGGTCTGTTTTCCCGAAAGACAACGACTATACATTTTAAATACCCATTTATGCAACATTTAAGAGTACAGTAGCACATGGACTAAGGCATAAAACTAAAAGCTACTATTTTCATTTCATGGGGTCATTAAAGTGGCTTAACTGTTATAGCTCAAACTGTAAATGAAAATTCACTGCTTTATTGCTGAGATAGAGAAGTATATAAATTACCTGTGGCACGTGTAACCTGAATATCCAGCTGGACCAAAGCCAAGCTCTGGACACTGATTAAATGACCTGCAGTTTGGACTTGTTTTTGTCTCTCAGAAGCATGAAATCCTTAACTTGTCTTTGCATGAATTCAAATTA